CAAGAGAGAAGACGACTACACCAGGCACTGACATTGCAGGTTAAAAGGTGTATGTCCTGTCTGTTGAGGTCTGTTGTGTTATCTCCAGTGCTGATGTTTGACATGATGAAGTGCCCATATTCTAAGTTGACGTTTCCCGAATCCTCAATGTGGGTGGAATGAGCAAGACCACTGTATAAACGAATATACAGGATAAATCTTCATAATGTTTGACCCATGAAAATCTTTATAATACATGAGCTCTAAAGTGCTTTACATAGATACAACAATATACATAACAAGAGGCCCATGGGCCACATCACCCACCTGACTAAATTTGGCCATTGCTCTTCTTTACCAGATGCCTCCCCCCCACCCCTTGTAATACCTATTGTGATCCTGTCCTACCCCAAGGAGTCTTGATTTAGACAGTTTGGAATCTCACTACCCCAGGATGCTTCCAAATAAGTTTCAGCTTTTTTGACCCAATCGTTCTTGAGGAGAAGATTTTTCCTATATATGTAAGTGTAAAATACACAACTTTGGATAAAAGATGCTTTGGATACTTTCTAGGGAGCATAATAGCCTAGGTCTCATTGGTTAGATTCTGTATCCTAACCGATTGGCCAAATTAAGTTTCCAAACCACGCCATTTTGACTGGGAAATCGAATTAGAGAAGAACAACCATGAAACCGATGTACGCTATCGTGGATTGGGAAGACAAATTTGTTAGCATTATTAACTCAGAGAACATTAAAGAACCTAGGAAATCGATGAAAGATTATGTAGAAGGGGAATTCATCATTGCAACATTTGGCAAAAAGGCATATAAAGCTAGGATCTTGGATATTGATGGTACGTATTTATGTCAATAGTGATTAGAAATAGCCTAACAAGTTCTACACTACAACGTGAAAGTGCAACCTTTAAGACTTAGTCAAAGTGGAGACATTATATTGTTTCTTAACGTGACTTATCATGTTATGCAACATACTTTTCATGCTTTGTGTGTCTAAGGCACTTTACCCTCATGTTACAGTCATTTATCAGGTTATATGATTCTGTAGTGTTAATGTAAATGATTATATATATCTATTCATAACTTCATGTATATATTTTTATTGTTTATATTGACACCATTTTGGTTATAAATTAATACTGGTCAAGTTTTCCAAGGCTGATAGCTATTGAAGGGTACCCCCTAGGGGGCATTCATCTAGTTACGTAATTAAAGTCAATAGAGGGGGACCCTCTAGGGAATAATGCCAGTGGTTAAATACCAAGCGCCACCTGGCCGCAGGGACCTTTTAAACCAATCAGGGCCCTGAATCAGTTATTTTTACATAAAAACAAATCAATTATCCAATCAGAAGGCATAATTTCAGAATAATTATCTTCAACTTTCCAGGAAAGCATCACTTTTCTGAGAACAGGCAAAGGGGAAAGGTCACAACATTTTTTTTTTCTAATTTCCGCTTTGCTCTAATTTTACAAGTGATGAAGTTCACGTGCTTCCTGTTTAGTGCTGATTACTTTCAACATGATGCAGAGACTTTCTTACGTTCGCTCATTTTTCAGCATTTGAACTTGGTATGTTATGTGCGCTGAGGAAGTTGACAGACTTTTTGCGATCATTCAGGAGGCCAACTACGAGGGGTGATCAAAAAGTTCGCAAACTAATTGAATAACTTCCATACACGAAACAATATTTGGTTTTAATGTTAATTATATTTTAAATTAATCCTCCCCGATTTTAATGCACATCAACCACCGTTCTGCGCATGCGCGAATCACGTGATATTGGCGGTCACATGACCCCCTCCGTAGCGTTCTGTCACAAAAGTTAAAAGATTTTTCCGAGTTTTATATTTCTTTCCATGCGAGTTAATTTTTATGACAAGAACAGTTAATTTGTCAGAAATGGTCATATTTCGGCAACAGAATGGGTGGATAATAACATCGATCCTTTCCAAAAATAAGCATGGCGACCATTAAAACACAAATCTTCTGTCTCAGGAGAGACCCAAATGAAAAAAAGGGGGAAACAAAATACTATAACAAACTACTTACAAAACATATGTTTTGAAAGTGTTTTGATAGTATAGCAAATCACATGCAAATGAGCTAACAAAACACTATAACAAGTTACTTTGAAAACACTCTAACAAACTACTAACAAAACGCTTTAACAAAATACTTACGAAACACTCTAACAAACTACTAACAAAACACTGTGTTTTGATAGTATTCCATTAGTATAGAAAATCACATGCAAATGAGGCTAACAAAACACTCTAACAAAATACTAACAAAGCATAAGTAACAAATCATCAATAAACCACTAAATTTGAATTTTTAAAATTATAATTAGCAAATTCACAAGTCTTTGAAAACATCTAAACACAGTCTCATATTGAAACATTACATGTATAAACATCTTGTTTCACAGTATTTTGAATTCCAGGTTTGACATTATTGTTCAATAGACAATAGCACACCATTCCAACATTAAAAAACACCAAGTTCGATTCATGATCACTCTCTTATATCAATCATTCTCTGCAGTGAAATCCTTTGGCCATTTCTCCATTCACATACATTTTCACAGAATTTTCAAGTATAATTATAATTCATTTAACCCAGTGCTTAAAACTGATCTAAGCTGGGTAGTATATGGATTAAAGGTCGATCAATCTTAAAATGAACAAAAACCCAATAAAAACAGGCCATATACACATCCACATTCACAGATTGAAGGTTTAACTGTAGCCCGTACGAAAGTTCGAGGCGGAATAGGCACGGCTTGGGCACGGCTAAGACACGGAATCCGCACGGGTTTTTAAAAAGATGCACGGGTTCTGCATGTCCAAGACACGGACACGGCTTCCGTGTCCGAAAGTGAGGAATCCTCACTCACAGAAACCCGTGTGGAGGCACGGAATCCGTGTCCCAGGGAGACGGTTTTTAACTCAGGCGGGTTTTGCTTCAAACTATTCATTTATATCTCACGGCTTTTTACTGAGCATGCTCAATCATAACTTCCTTTATTTGAATATTAAATTGGAGGGATCATGGTCATGAGCTGAGTCAATGTGTCTTTTTGCTCTATTTACAGGATATTTAACTAATACATGTCAGTTGGAATTGTATTTATGTCAGTCTGGGATAATTTCTTCACTTTTGAACTAAATGCAGTAAGTGTAATCTAAAATAAATAAGTCAATTTTTCAATTTTCATGATCTTCTGTATTGCGATGTTGACAATGAACATCATATGAAATAGTTTAGGTTTTATTTGAATGACTTTAGTTGGACTTTCACTAATCCTTTATAGTATAAATGTGACATCACTGTGCTAGTGAACGTTTAACTAAATTCTTTCTCAGATTGTGCAAACTTAGCTACCAGATTAAATTACAATTGAATATTGTACATTATCATTAAAATCTTAATTAAAACCTAGCATGGATTGTAACTGATAAAGTTAATCTTTAACAGAAAGTAAACACATTCATATAAGATTTTTAACTTTTGAAATTCTAAAACTAAGCATCAATGAAATTTAGCAATGTGAAGTTAGTTTGGTTTCAGTTACCATTTTGGCATCCACAGTTACATAAGGAGATTCTATAAAGGCCATGACCTAGATCTAAACAAATGCACAGATCCCGTGACTCCTTATATGGTATACGGCACGGCTTTTTGACACGGGTTTCCAAAAAACCGTGTCTCCATATATGGAAAAGGACACGGGTTTCAGACACGGGTTTACAGATTCCGTGAGTCCATATATGGAAACTAGCACGGCTTTCTGACACGGGTTTTGTAAAACCGTGTAAACTCATTTAAATATTTCGGCCAATATCCCGTGCCGTGTCCGTGCCTCGACCACTTTTAGGCACGGCTTTCCATACATACTTTACATAGGAGCACGGAATGCTAAAGCACGGGTTTCTGGAGACGGAATCCGTGCCTGAGCCGTGTCCAAGCCGCCCGGACTGTTTCGTACGGGAGTCCAGTTTAAAAGAACTTTATGTCATGCAATAAATAAATACCTTTGTTATATCCAGATTCATCCTGATTTTGCTTTTTCCAATCAGGGATCAATATATATACTAACACTTTACATGTCCCTTCACCAATCTCTTTGTTTCTCTCTGACCTAGTGCTGGTGGTTTGAAAATTGGCGCAAAACTAGTAACACAGGATATAAATAGATAAGTTGTTCTTGGAAGATTTTACTGCTCTTAGATAAGTCAACCCTTAACATGTCTGTTAATCAAATGAAATGCTAACAAAATATTAATTTGATGCAGACAAGTATAATGAAACACTTTCAAAATGCAATTTCATTCTGCAGAGTGTAATGAAACATTAATAAAACACCAACATTGTAATGAAACATTAACAAAATACCATGCCACCCCATCCTGTAAAGTATAGCATTGATGTTTCGTTAAATGCAACACTTTCAAAACATACTAAGAAAATATAAAAGTATGATTTGGTAGTGTTTTGAAGATATTTTGAAAGTATTTTGTTAGATTTCTTTTTCATTTGGGGACCTTTATTCAAGATGGATAGAGAATGGGTGCATCCTTTTTATCATACCTAATATGTTTAAAATCTAAAGTAAACGATATCTTAGGTATTTAATACTTATGTCATTGTTCAAATATTCAACTATTTTTCAAAGTACTAATTGGAGGTCTTTGATAGCAAATTGCTTAATTAAGAATACATATCTTTTCAAACTTGCTTTCACTGGGCAAGATGACAAGTATCATTTTTAACCATCAGCATTCCTTCACTAAAACGATTAATCCAATCTTTAATTGAATTCACAGGAACTCATTTATCTCAATAAACTGTGTACAAATTATTATATGATACTGTAGAGGGATTTCTAAAATATTACAATAAATTGTACAGTTGTTTGGTGAACGAGTTCGACTGAGACAACCATCCTAGCCTGCATTTTATGTGTAAGTGATTGTACATTTGTTTATTGTATTTCATCATGTTATCCAATAATGAAATTGAAATGACAGTCGGTGAGGACGCTGTAGCCAAGTGGGCCGACCCGAAGAAATTATCACCCTGCACAGTAAGTATTCTTATTGAGCTGGGGTATGACAGCATGTAGGCACTCTCACTACTCGCCAATAACGATCTGCCCTCCACTATTCCTGTGGGACAAAAACGCCTTCTCCTGTATTCGATAAGGCAAACTTCTATTAGAGGCCCAGCAGCAACTCAAACCTTTAACCAAGATTCAAGTGCAACAAAGACTGACGCTCCAGCGGAAGTTCACCCTAACCCCTCGCTTGGGACACCCTTGACGACAGATCAAACGCAAGGACAATCAGGTGATTAGTTAATTCCAGAAATGTTGAGCCAACTTCGATCAGCCCAGGGATCCACAACCAGGTGTGTTCTCTTGGCAGGACCCTCAAATTTATCTTAAATCCCTTTCTGCCCCTACATCAAGTCAATATCATGATATTGTAGATTTTGTAAATCTGGCAGCTGCCTCACAACCCTTAGAGAAAAGAACTGGCTTTTTCCCATTGAAATTCCATTAAAATATCATTGAAATTCATGTTTTCATTGAAATTCCATTATATTTCCATTGAATTTCATGAGACCGTCCTTTGACCAGTCTGTTTTCACCACCATTGATTTACCAGTTTTTAAAAAACAGTATTTTCAATTGTCTATAAATCCCATTAAAATACCAGTTTTCCCATAACTTAAAATTCAATGTGCCTTAATTTCAATTGAAACACCATTGATTTTCAAAACCAGTTTTATTTAAATAAATGGAAAGTTCTTATTGAAACATCGCAACTCAGTCTCTATCATATCTGTTGGGAGAGGGACACACATATATTTTGTTTACAGCGGTAACTATGTTATTAACATTCAGAATATTTTGAATAGTTATAAAGTCTATATGATCTTCTCTAGAGACTTCCCAAACACAACCAAGGGGCACGATTTTCTTAAATGGTTTTATCACTGCCAAGTTAAGAATAACATGAGGACTTCGTTCTTCACATTGCACAAATGATAACACAGACGCAAATTCCAATTCATTTCCTTTCTGATATGTAATAATGTGCTGTTGTCTTTTCTCAAGTCTTGAATAATTATTCCCATACACATAAAATCCTTTTTTATACATGTTGATTTTGAGAAATTCATTTACTTCCGTATTTCTTACACCAAACTTTAAGACCAGACGTTGTTCCTCAGCGTTTAACGTTCGAATAGAGGCAGTTCCTATAAACCCTATTCCCGCTTCTATTTCATGCAAGTGTCTATCACTACCATTTAGTTCATGAAATTGGCATATAGCATCTTCTTGGGCATCCTTTAAATATTTAGCACTCATGGCAGCAGGGACTTGCAGCAACGAAACTATGTTTGTAATTTGAGTGTCTATGCCCTGTGTTCCGTGGATGTGTTTTACTATAAATCCATTCAAGTCTTCAAATATGAAGCAATTATTTACATAAAGAGGTCCTGACTATGTTCAGTCCCACCGGAAACACAAACGGCAACTTCCGGTTATAAGAGAAAAACTACAAAATTTGAGTATTTTTCTTTCCCCTAAATATTTTTTACAGATAAAGTATTTGTGATGATTTTTGGATATGTTATTCAGACTGCAAATGACTACAGTAACGTCAAATATCTTAAAATTCACTTCCGGTCGCGTGATTTCCTGTCCTCAAAATGAGAAGTTATCATAGCTAGATCTCGTAAACGATAAGAGATTAAGACACCAAACTTGTATAAGTGGTAGATCTTGATAAGTAGGCAAATTCAGTTGGGATAAGATTGTCAGCCGTCACTTCCGGTCGTCACAGGAAGTGATCCAAAAAATCAAAATTTTTAACTTTTCTTTCATGAAACTTTTTTTACATCACATTATAACATCTTATTTGTAGTTTTGAAATATATCAGTCCCACCGGAAAATAAAACGACAACTTCCGGTTATAAGAGAAAAACTACATTAAAGAAGTCGGTTCACTTTATGCATAAAATGGCCCTGTAGATATACCAATTAATTGATCAACACTTGATTTTCTATTTGAAGTATTAAAATAAAATAGAGACTTGGTGCTTTCATATCCTATTAAAAAATTCTCCTCGAAGTCCAGGTCTTGGAGAACTGGCTTTATGAAATTGCAATGTTCTTGAAATTTTAGCTAAACAGGTATAATTGAGTACTTTCAGTGAAGAAAAATAATATGAGCGCACCCTCTGATCTAACAAATAAAACATGTCCATGAATCCCCAGAAACAGTTCTATCATTTACTAGTTGCATATTTTAGATCAGAGGTTGCGCTCTATATCAAATATCAAAAAATAACTTTAAAAATTGGCCGTTTTTGTAGACTTTTTCGAAATATTAGGAAATTGACGCATTTCGTGACGTCATAATGCATTGACTAGAAAGAAAATGACGTCATTTTTTATAGGATCGCAGTCACCAAAGATCTAAGTGATATTTTAATGCATTGTTAACTAAAACTATGCAGTTTCAGTTTTTCTGAAATTCATAGGGCCAAATAAGGCAAAAATGAACCTTGTTCTTTAGTATTTTTCTTTCCCATAAATATTTTTTATACATAAAGTATTTGTAGTGATTTTTAGATATGTTATATAGACTGCTTATGTCTACAGTAGCGTCAAATATCTTTGTAAAATTCACTTCCGGTCGCGTGATTTTCTGTCATCAATATGAGAAGTTATCACAAAGAGATCTCGGAAAGGTAAGAGATGGAGACGCCAAACTTGAATGAGTAATAGATCTTGATAAGTAAGAAAACTCATAAGGGTTAAGATCGTTGGCAGTCATTTCCGGTCGTCACAGGAAGTGATTAAAGAAATCAGAAATTTCAACTTTCCTTTTTGGAATACTTCTCGGCATCACATTATTGCATCTTATTGGTTGTTCTGATATATGTCCGTCCCACCAGAAACAAAAACGGCAACTTCCAGTTATGAGAGAAAAACTGCATAAATTGAGAATCATACTATCCCATAAATGTCTTTTATAGAAAGAGTATTTGAAATGATTTTAGAACATGTTATTCAGACTGCAAATGTCTAGTGTAACTACAAATATCTGTTAAAAATTGACTTCCAGTCTCATGATTTCCTGTCCTCAAACTGAGTAGTTAACATAGCAAGATCTTGGTTATGGTAACACATCAAGACACTAAACTTATATGAATAATAAACCTTGAAGAGTGAAGAACAGATATAAGGATTAAATGTCTCCGCCGTCACTTCCGGTCGTCACAGGATGTGATTTGAAAAATCGAAAATTCCAACTTTTTTCTTTCCAATTTTTTTTCATTACTTTATTGCATCTAATCAGTAGTTTTGAAATATGTCAGCTCCACCAAAAATAAAAATAAACATAGGTAATCAAAGATTACGAAGCTCACCTCGACGAATGTTATCAGTTTAAGTAATGCAAATCCTACATCATATTTTCTTAATATTAAGTATTCATCCCAACAACAATATTCTTGCAAGTTGTGCTTAACCCTCTACATGGCATATACACATTTCTATGCGTTTAGTGTGAAAAACATGTATTGTGTAAACAAATATTCATAACTGTTAAAACTGCAGATATCAAAGACTTCAAGTTCATTCGGATTGATCTGTTCCCAAAACTTTAACCTGGTCTCTTGTATGGAAAATATAGGTCAGATCCAGCATCCCAAGCAAGTCTGATAGTGTCCATCCTAAGATGCATCATCCATGCAAGTTTGGTTTAGCTAGGGCTTATAGTTACTTGGGAATGAAAATGTAGGTCAGATCCAGCATCCGAAGCAAGCCTGGTAGTGTCCATCCTAAGATACATCATCCATGCAAGTTTGGTTTAGCTAGGGCTTAAAGTTACTTGGGAATGAAAAATGTAGGTCAGATTCCAGCATCCGAAGCAAGTCTGGTAGTGTCCATCCCTAGATACATCATCCATGCAAGTTTGCTTCAGGTAGGGCTTATAGTTACTTGGGAATTAAAATGTAGGTCAGATCCAGCATCTGAAGCAAGTCTGGTAGTGTCCATCCCTAGATACATCATCTATGTAAGTTTGGTCCAAATCCAAATAGGGCTCATAGTTACTTGGGAATGAAAATGTAGGTCAGATCCAGCATCCGAAGCAAGTCTGGTAGTGTCCATCCCTAGATGCATCATCCATGCAAGTTTGATTTAGGAAGGGCTTATAGTTACTTGGGAATGAAAATGTAGGTCAGATCCAGCATCCGAAGCAAGTCTGGTAGTGTCCCTCCCTAGATACATCATCCATGCAAGTTTGGTCCAAATAGAGCTCATAGTTACTTGGGAATGAAAATGTAGGTCAGATCCAGCATCTGAAACTAGTCTGGTAGTGTACATCCCTAGATACATCATCCATGCAAGTTTGCTTCAGGTAGGGTTCATAGTTACTTGGGAATGAAAATGTAGGTCAGATCCAGCATCCGAAGCAAGTCTGGTAGTGTCCATCCCTAGATGCATCATCCATGCAAGTTTGGTCCAAATAGGGCTTATAGTTCCTGAGGAATGGACCTGCTCCAAAAACTTGAACCTGGTCACTCATCTAGACAATGTAGGTCAGATTCAGCATCCGAAGCAAGTCTGGTAGTGTACATCCCTAGATGCATCATCCATGTAAGTTTGGTTCAGGTAGGGCTTATAGTTCCTTGGGAATAGACCTGCTCCAAAAACTTTAACCTGGTCACTCATCTGAAAAATGTAGGTCAGATCCAGCATCCGAAGCAAGTCTGGTAGTGTACATTCATAGATGCATCATCCATGCAAGTTTGGTCTGGGTAGGGCTTATAATTCCTTGGGAATGGACCTGCTCCAAAAACTTTAACCTGGTCACTCATCTGGAAAATGTAGGTCAGATCCAGCATCCGAAGAAAGTCTGGTAGTGTACATTCATAGATGCATCATCCATGCAAGTTTGGTCTGGGTAGGGCTTATAATTCCTTGGGAATGGACCTGCTCCAAAAACTTTAACCTGCTCCAAAAACTTTAACCTGGTCACTCATCTAGAAAATGTAGGTCAGATCCAGCATCCGAAGCAAGTCTGGTAGTGTACATCCCTAGATGCATCATCCATGCAAGTTTGGTTCAGATAGGCCTAATAGTTACTTGGGAATGGACTTGCTCCTAAAACTTTAACCTGGGACGCCAACACTAACGCCGACGCCGACACCGACGCCAACGCCGGGGGTATCCCTGGGAAAAGAGATGATGACAGCTGGTGGAAAACGAGGGGCTAGGAAATTGAGCATAAGCTCATCTCGACTTCATCGAGGTGAGCTAAAAATAAAAACAACGAAAACTTCCAATTATAAGAAATAAAACTACACCAAAGTCAAAAGGTCAAGGTCATTGGAAAAGTATTTTAATTGCTTATATGTATATATATATATATGCCACATGACCTTGACCTTAGAGTTTAATGTTTGACCTTGACCTTTGACCTTGACCCTTACCCTAGAGTTAATTTTTTTTATTATATTTAGCTTGATACAGCTTCAAGTGTTAAAGTGGAGTTTAAAAGTTTTTTGGATGACCTTGACCTTTGACCTCGATAAATGACCTTGACCTTTGACCCTATTGACCCAAAGATCACAATCAAGCTTGAGTCCGTAGGGGTGTTTACATCTCTCACTTTAACAAATGCTTTTATACCACCCCCTTTTTTTTCTTTTTTTTCTAAATCAATAGGAACCTAGAAAAATTTTCTACAGTTCAAACGACGACACAGATCGACATGAAATTTAAAGATTGCAGTAGAGGACACATCTAAGAAAGTGTCCTGAGTGTGTAACAGTAAGTCTCTGAAGTATATAATGAAATTCTAATGACTATAGGCAACAACTACATTCTTTTTCTGTCTGAAATTTAGGTGCTGATGAGCATGAAAATTAATTAAAGCTTGTATTGGGTATTTCTTCACTTTTTGTCAATAACATTCGATTCTCCTTCTCAAATACGAAATTTTAATACCAAGTATTCTTGATCTCCTTTGTATGTAGAGTTTATTTCAATTTTATTTACAATTAATATTAATTGAATGAATCTAGGAAATAGCGATTTTTTCCTATCAAATCAATTTCCACGCAATTTATATAGGTTAGATAAATTACAGTTATCTTGCTTTCTACGATGTGGAGTTGAGAAAATGCCCATGACTCACAAATTATGTCAACAAATTACATGTAATGTGCCTATCAGAGTGCACATGTACCAAAAATGCACCCTGGGACTACCCAGATTTTGGTTTGTTTTTCCAAGCAGGGTAACACACCCAGTATTCTATAACTCAATCTATGCCCTAAAAAAATATTCATTAATTGATATGTTGTCATTTACCTTCCCTCTGAGAAACACACCTTCTTCTAAGGCCTACGGCTTTTCAGCTTATTTTCCTCTGCAACTGACCACGTGTATTAGTTTCGCATTTACAGCTCTGTATATGCTAAGTGTCATATAGTAATACCTACATGTTTCAGCAAGCACTCTGATTCACTGCAAACGTGTCCTATAATTATTCTAATCATTTTTCTACATCAAATATCACATCAAACAGGGAATATCTCATTTTTTAAAGAAATTTGACCGGGACTTTACTACGAAACTATTTCTTTCACTACGAAACTATTTCCTTCAACCTTAAAATAATAACCTTACAAAATACCTTTAATGTTGTGGAACTCGATGGCTCTGTGGTTAGCGTGTCTGACTTTCATGTTAATGGTTTTGGGATCGAGCCCAGCTGGAGGAATTTTTTTTTTTTTTTTTTTTTGCATTTTGTCTATTTTTTATTTGTCTGTTTTTTAAAATAGAAAAATATCCTTCTTACAGATAAATAGAGAAGAACGGAAGACCTTATTTGTTGCTGTAGCAACAAGTCTAGAGTTTCTAGTTTCGGAATATTGTTATTATTTTTTAGATTTGATAATTTAATCTCTTAAATTATTTTGTATTTTGAATATTAATGTACATTAATGTATATCAATGAATGTATGCAGTACAGGTTTTGTTCAATTACATATTGTTATATCCGCAATAAATTATACTTTAGAGAAAGCTGCCGCTCATCAAGGATGCTGATGATATTTACAGTGACGTTTTGGTGAACCCAGCCACTTTACGAACTGCTGAAATGAAAGCTTTAACAGCAAAAAATCCAGCAATGTATCTGCTAAACAAAGTGCTGGATTTGGTGTTCTCTGAAGAAGAACTAAGGGATACAAAGGGTGCCAGAGGATTGGACAAGCACAAAATGGATGCCCTTAAAGGTACGTCTAAATTAAATACTGTACATTATTTAAATTCTCACTCTTTTAATAGATATAAATACTTCTTCAACCACATCATGTATTTATTAATTATTAAATCATTTATTTTTAATTAAGTAGTCATTATGCAATGATATTTTAAAAAAATTTATGTTACAAATATATTTTCATTTTTTATTCAGAATACATGTTTTCCAAATGTCAAAGTCTACAGATAGAACATCTAAGACCAACAGTGTTCAACACAACTATTCAAAACAAGATTGGCAACATTAGGCAGAAGAAAAGCTGTGCGAAAGGAAGTGTAAAATTGAATTCAAAATAACTCTCAGGAACTCCAGCGTCTTTGATGGACCGCACACTTTGGAGGGATTTTTGTAGTTCTGGGACAGTCCTGTAGCTTACTAGCTCTCCTCTCCAGTTCAGTTAAAATCCGAGAACCAGACAGGTTGTCAACGTGTGAACACTTCCTGTGGTCCCTGAACCACATCTCCGCGATATCCAAACTGACGACATTAACCTCGATCTCTCTCATCAAGTGTGTTTAATATGTGAATACCATTCTGAAGGATTTATATTTTCAGAAGGATTACTTCTTTCTATGGTAAGTGCATTTTAAGCTTACAAAATATGTTCAAAGTAACTGACATGCATGCTCCATGCAGTTTCCATTTTTTATATTAACATGTACCGGTATATCTATATTGTAATATGTAGAGAGAGAGAGAGAGAGGAGAGAGAGAGAGGAGAGAAAGAGATGACATAACTTGATAAAGATCTAATTTACTGAAAATTTCTAAAAAATGTTATTGTAAATAATTAGATAAAAATTTTCATCATTAATTGAAGTCAAATTTTTTCATGATTGAAGGGATCAAAAGACCCTGAACTTACATGTTTTACATGCATGCATGGTTTTCCTGTCTTAATACACCATCAATATGCTGTATAAAAAATCTTTATATATGTTTTAGTATATTCTATAAATAAATTTGAAAAACAATGAGTATTCAATGGTTTTTCAATGGATTTCCTGTAGCATTACTTTTCCATTGATTTTTCATTAAAATATGACATCATTAAACTGGTACAAACTAATTTGCATAAGTATTCATTTTCAATGGTGTTTCAATGGACTTTCACTGTGTTTTAACTGAGTTTTAACTGGAAACTGGAAAATAACTGGTTTTTCTTGGTAGACATTAAATAGTGCCAGTTTATGCAGAGAAATAAAACTGGAAAATCAATGGTGTTTCAATGCCCTGAAAAAGAATGCACTTTCAATGGAATTTCAATGGCATTCTTTTCTGTAAGGGTAGTGAGGCATCAACGAGTAATGAAGGTTTGTTCAATTTGAATGTATTATTTGTGAACATTCTAGGAAAGGCATGTACATGTATTATATATCTGTGTCTTTGATCTCCAGTTTATGGTCTGTGTGAATTAATTATAGTGTGATTACTTGCAGAAATGCCAGGTAGAGGCACTGCGACAAGAAAGGACCGTCCTTTGCAGCCAACAGTGAGCCAGGGTTCTAGAGACCCCAGTGAAAAAGAGGCATCAACAAGTAATGAAGGTTTGTTACCTTTGAATGTATTATTTGTGAAATACTTGGAAAGGCATGTACATGTATATATCTGTCTGTGATCTCCAGTTTCATAATGGTATGTATGAATTAATTGTAGTGTGATTACTTGTAGAAATGCCAGGTAGAGGCACTGCAACAAGAAAGGACCGTCCTTTGCAGCTAACAGTGAGCCAGGTTCTTGGAGACCTCAGTGATAGTGAGGCATCAACAAGTAATGAAGGTTTGTTCAATTTGAATGTATTATTTGTGAACATTCTAGGAAAGGCATGTACATGTATTACATATCTGTGTCTGTGATCTCCAATTTATGGTCTGTGTGATTTAATCATAGTGTGATTACTTGCAGAAATGCCAGGTAGAGGCACTGCGATAAGAAAGGACCGTCCTTTGCAGCCAACAGTGAGCCAGGTTCTTGGAGACATTAGTGAAGCAAAAAGACCATCAAGTAGTCCGTCTTCTCCTTCTTTACATAGGTAACAGTCAAATCGATACAGCCATGGTCACACAGTATTTAAACGTTAGTTGTTATTTACTATTGGACTCTTGCGAAAAGCACTGACTTTTACTTTGACATTTAAACCTGTATCATGTACGGAAGTACAATATTGATAATAAATAAGAAAACCTTTCTACTGGTCATAGGTATGGTGTTAGGCGCACTAACATGTGAAGGTCGGGAGTTGAGGGTAGGGTTGTTGTCGTTTTCTTCGAGGACAACTTATTTGTGCTTTGAAATTACCCGTTATTTTCGTTGAATTAAATGTTGAGCTAAATATTTATATCGTAAAATAGCTTCCATACATTGTCCTAGTGTAAAAGTAAGCCGTCAACTTTAAGAGTCAGCGCTCCTCGCAAAAGTCCATTAGACTTATTTGTATTGGAATGTATGAAGTCAGTAATGAAAATGTTTTGCTGTAGTAGAATGTGTTTATTAAAGTTATTTGAAAAAAGTGCACAAGAAGTACTAATTAAAGTCTCGTTTGTTAACGGTGTGAACATAGTCTTAAAATAAACTTCATGTCCTCCTCTCAATATCCAGGGCATAGGATTTTTTCCAGTCTGATGCAACTGTAGAAGTTGAAAGCAAGAACCATATTTAGATGCCTTATAAAGTTTATTTTACTGCAAAATTTTATAGACAAAATACCAGTTATACAATATAAATGGAGCTAATAAGTTTATAGGATATCCTCCCTCCTTTTCACCCTCCTGAGTATCTTACACTAAATTTGGTGCAGTTTGCTCCAAATATGCTCATCATTTGCTCATCAAGTGATATTAAATTTTATACAAGAAGTTCATATTTCTTGGGGGGGTTTGTTCAAAAAATTTAGGAAGCCTTTGATTTATTTTAAAAGAGTAAAATATGGCAGGGGTGTCATTGCCATTGCCCGATGCCCAGGGCTACCAATTTTAGAGGTCGGGCTATCATAAATCTATACCTCGACAGGGTAGTAAGTCTAAAACGAAAGTATACATATATTTACATCCACTGAATTGATGTATGAATTAACTTTGTAGTAAAATCATAATCTTTAACTCGTTTTAACCTATATGTATTGTGTTTTGCTATCGCCAGTTGTTTCAGTGACAATTACAGTTGATAACCAGAAGTCTCTGTCGAGACTGAAGCTCTACTGGTTTGAACTTATAGCAAAGGAAGAGAAAGTACATAAGCAGCTGGGATTTGAAACTTTATAAACAGCATTAAATAGAATAATGATCGTTGATAAAGTCTCTTTATGTTCTTAGTGTAGTCTACTTGTGTGCCAAGTTATACTGAAATCAGACCAAGACTGTAGGAGGAGTAGCATTTTGAAACAATTTTACAGACATTTCTATTTTTAGTAACCACGGCAACACCATTCATCAAAATTAAAATTCGATACACAGAATTATGTATCTTAGTGTATTCTACTTGTGTGCCAAGTTATATTGAAATCAGACCAAAACTGTAGGAGGAGTAGCATTTTGAAACAATTTTACAGATATTTCTATTTTTAGTAACCACAACAACACCATTCATCGAAATCAAAAACCGATATATAGAATTATGTATCTTAGTGTATTCTACTTGTTTGCCAAGTTATACTGAAATCAGACCAAAACTGTAGGAGGAGTAGCATTTTGAAAGAATTTCACAGAAATTACTATTTTTAGTAACCACGGCAACACCGTTCATCGAAATCAAAAACCGATGCACAGAATTATGTATCTTAGTGTAGTCTACTTGTGTGCCAAGTTATACTGAAATCAGACCAAAACTGTAGGAGGAGTAGCATTTTGAAAGAATTTCACAGAAATTTCTATTTTTAGTAACCACGGCAACTACGTTCATCGAAATCAAAAACCGATACACAGATTTATGTAACTTAGTGTATTCTACTTGTGTGCCAAGTTATACTGAAATCAGACCAAAACTGTAGGAGGAGTAGCATTTTGAAAGAATTTCACAGAAATTTCTATTTTTAGTAACCACGGCAACACCGTTCATCGAAATCAAAAACCGATAAACAGAATTATGTATCTTAGTGTATTCTACTTGTTTGCCAACTTATACTGAAATCAGATCAAAACTGTAGGAGGAGTAGCATTTTGAAAGAATTTCACAGAAATTTCTATTTTTAGTAACCACGGCAACACCGTTCATCGAAATCAAAAACCGATATACAGAATTATGTATCTTAGTGTAGTCTACTTGTGTGCCAAGTTATACTGAAATCAGACCAAAACTGTAGGAGGAGTAGCATTTTGAAAGAATTTCACAGAAATTTCTATTTTTAGTAACCACGGCAACACCGTTCATCGAAATCAAAAACCGATAAACAGAATTATGTATCTTAGTGTAGTCTTCTTGTGTGCCAAGTTATATTGAAATTAGACCAAAACTGTAGGAGGAGTATGCACAATGTCAAGGGTTTGTGATTTCTCGAACTCCACACAAACCCTTGACCTAAGTCGCTATTTAAAAGTCGGGCTCTGTATTCCGAATTTCATTCGTTCCAAGTCTCAAACCTGGAGCCAATCAGAACGCGGTTCTCATTCTGAACAGTGATGATGTAAACAAAAATGGCTGCGCCCATGCGGATGCTACAGGAATGTCTAACTCGTCGTCTTCTTGCAGAATATGTAATGATAGGAACTTAAACAAATATCGTAGATTAATATTTGGAAAATCCTTTTCTTGTTCCGAACAACTTAATGAAGTTTTAGGTTATGTTCCACGTGAAACCGACGGATTATCTCCCTACGTTTGCCATATGTGCTTCAACAAACTAAACAAACTTTCGAAGATTGACTATGAGCTTACACATAAGTTAGATCAATTGAGAAAAGAAAAGAATGATATCCTTAACAATCTACGATCACACAAAAGTGCAGTAAATAATGTTTCCAATATTGTCATTGTTAATGTTAACAGTAACACTCCAGTGAAAGTAGCAGATCGGCCAGTTTCAAATATACCGTGTATACAAACCCCTAAAATGTCTCACACCCCAAAGCGGGTAATTTTACATTCCCCCACACCAAGGAAAGCCAAGAAATGTCTGCTGAGGATAAATTCTCCCCTTCTAAACCTCCTTCAAGGACCAAGAAGAGACTTTGTGATTTGTCTCCGGGAAAAGCCAAGGTATTTTTTTTAATCTAGGTTGAATTTTGGACTGAAAAATCCAATCCCTAATCTGAAATGTTTTACATTGTATTGCATCCCTGATTATTTTGTTTGTCCATTTAATTCATACATGTATGTACAGATTAAGGAGGAAAGACATGATAGAGGACAGGGGGATTTGGACCTCAATGGGTCAAAAATATTGTCAAGCAGATCACAAAGTTATTACTTTTATTTCTTGGGGAAAAAAATCATAAAAGTTGAGCAGTAGTTCTCTTTCAATTTTATCAATTTAGCAATCCTATATCCCCTAAGCAACTTTCTGCATTAATCAAATCTGTATTATTTTATATTAGGTATCCTTTAGAGGCAGACAGGATGAAAAAGTCCGAACCAGGATTATTAAGGATGGAATATGGCATTCAGTGGTGAAGTCAATTGTCAGAGGGGACAAAGGGAACAGCATTTCAAAAAAACTCTACTCTATTGAATCATTAAAGACTGGGTTACAGAAATGTGTATCAAAAGAACTTGAAAATCAGTGCAAAACTCTATGTAAAGTGAACAGTAAATCAGTGCTGCGCAATATTTCCTCCAAGAATTTGGAGTCATTTTCTTTTGGAAGTCTCATACAAGAGTGTCAAATGTATGCTCCCCTTCTACTGGAAACCTTGACATGTGTGATGAATCAGCCAAATGAAAACAAGGTCGCAGTGGCTGCAGGAATTCTGCTTAGAAATCGAAACATACACATGTCTGCAATCCATCATTTAATAGGTCAAATATTAGATCATGGGGGAGCAACCGATGAGGTACATTATAAATATAATTTGATAACCACTGAAGATAAAAATTAAATATATCTCACAACTAGATATCAGATAAGTCACTGTATAAAGTATTTATTTATGAAACAAAATTACACAGTTACAAGTATTAGTAAATTATCAATTTTATGTCTTTATTATAGGTCATTAAAGTACTATCCTATATTGGAGTGTGTAGTGGACCACAGTCTATGATTCTGAAGAGGAATGACTTTGAAATCAGTCAGAGACAGAAAATTAAACAGATTGTCCAAGACCATGTAAAGCAATGCCAAATGGAATATATGACTCAGAAAATTAAGAAGAGTCTGGAGGTTCTACCAGAATCAGATACTACCATGTCTGGAAAATACCCTCCACCTGTGGTCTTGCCGCAAACTTTGACAACTACCAGTACATTAAACCAAACAGGTAGGTCATTTGTTCACTGTCCATCTTATTCAGTAGCTGGAACACATGAAGATTATATGGTACAATCTGACAGTTATTCAAAACCTAAATATCTAGCCTCTGCAAGATTAAGTGCAGTGCCTTTGAAAACACTGGATAAGACATTGGCAATAGAATTCCCAGGTGTTAGGCCTCTCTTTTGTGTGCAGCCTAAAACTGACTCCAGTTATGCACAAGCAGAAAACAAGACCACACGAAATTTATCGTTGAATTTCATATCCAAAAACTCTTGTGTACTTACCCAGTCTACACCGAGATTTGAAGTGATTGGAGATAATCTAGATTTAACAATATCCCCCTCCTCAATGACAAAAGAAAGACAGAGAAGAAGCATTCACTGGTTTTTGAATATTGCTTTGTGTAAGAGAGTTTTGTCAGACCTCTCTGATGATTGTCCAAAAGCCGAGATAATGAAAGTCCCAAACAGTGTTTTCATACCAAATACAAGTGATTGCCTAGCCTTAGAAAATGATATGATATATCATATAACCAAGATCCTTTGCAAGTATGTAAAGTGTTTACAGCGGTTTCAGCCCTCTGTTCCAGACTGTATTCAGCACCCATACATGGATGAAATGTGTAAGAAATCTGAGTACAGAATAATAGATTTGCTTGACAAAAGTGAGAACAAATCAGAAGACATGATTAGTATTCTACAACACATACATAAACATTGTGTGGCTCACTCTGATGAGGAACCAACAAAGGTTATTGAAAAAATTGTATTTGGAGGCGATGTGTTAACTAATGAGAGGGCATACAGTGTCCAGTTAGCCATGATGAATGCTGAGTGGGACTTCTATGGTTTTGCTGGTGTAGTACACAGACCTGAAGGTTTACACCGGATGATGAACTTCCTTGTGGTATTTCTTGTCAGCAGTTACAGTTCCTTGTTTGGTTTTGTTGTAATTTGGCCAGATGTTATCCTCCATTTGGAATGTTTTTACTTACTAAAATTATATTGTTCGAAGTGAGTTCTTTTTTAAAATTAGTCGTATTTTACTAACCACAAGTATTCAGGGTAGCCAGTAGTATAATTTTTTTCTGTATTGATATACAGCAAAACTTGTTTAGTACGAACACGGATATAATGAATTCACGAATATAGCGAAGTTTTTTTATCCCCAACTTTATGAATTTTACGAATTCCTTATATGAATATAACGAATTATAGATATAGTGAAGTAATTTCATAGGCCCAAGTGACTTTGTTATAACCAAGTTTTACTGTATAGAAAATATATACATGTACATGTATAGAAGTACATATATAACCTAAAATATTTTCTGATTCTAGCTTAAATTTATGCATGTGCATTCTAAAGTACATGTATTATATATACCTTCAGTAGTTGTGTATTGATTTTTTTTCAAATAAGACAATCTGGAAAAAAATTATTATGATCGATAATTAACTACTAATAATATAAATTACATCTTTGTAAGAAAAATATAACTGTAAAAATAATAAAGTATGTAAGTTAAATATTAGCTAATTTATTATTTCTTTCACAAAACTTGAATGGTGTATAAATTTTGTTGACAAGTGTTTTTATTAACTATTTCAGATCATTTACAAGCAGTTTTATAGCCTTAAGTCTGCTGCAGATCAAGGAAGTTTGTATCAGTTGAGAAATGTTGTCAGAAGGGTGGATGTTCAAGGTCCAGAAGGAGTAACAAGTTCATATAGGTACATGAACCTCAAAGCTGATGTTTTAGAACATTGAAACTGCTTATTTATTACTGGTAATTATCCTGAAACATATACATGTATCAACATTCAACAATTTGTTTTAATTTTTCATGTAATTCTTTGTTTTAGATCACATATGAACTTTGTTCAGGACTGTTTGGATGCCTTTGTTTTAGGATCTTGTTTACACATGTTTGGAATGGACTCTTTAGATGGTGTTCCTGTAAATGTTGAAGTTCCTCAATTCTTGCATCTGTCATCCAGTGAGGAGCAGTATGCTTGGCTGAAACAACTTGGAGCACAGCTACTTAAAACATACATAAAACTAGACAAAGGTAAAATTCATGTCACCTGTAAAGATTTATTGGTATATACATGTAATATTTTTTTTAATGAAAATTATCTCTTGGGTCTTAATTAAATAAATTTTGGAAGGATAAAAATCAAATTCTAAACATTGTACATACATTTGAATTCACAATTGTCTTTTTAAGCAATGCATTTATTGTAGAAGGTCTAATTGACATTCAAATGACCAATCAAGTATCAGAGATGGATGATCAAGAATTACTGTTGGCAGAAATGTATAACTCTCAGAATAATCGATACAGCTGTACCTGCAACAAAATTTACAAAACTAAGGGTCATTTTAAAAGACACCTTGAAAAAGAACATGGATGGGACTTTTCCTTAAATCAAGATTCAACAGTGTACTCTAAAAAGGATCATGTTGCAGTGTGGCGAGCTTCCTTCATGAAACTTTCTTTGCTGCTGAGGGACACTGAAGATGCTTTTCGTTATGGGGATGGTAATCGTATTTTCCGAAATGCCAAGTTCGAAATGCTTTGTGCAGATGCAGCCCACCATACAAAATATCGTTTATGGCTGTGGCGCATGCAAGCATATGAGAGTGCCATCTTAACTCCAAGACAAGCAGTTGAATATAAATGGAACTGCACAGCCAATACACATGGTGGAAAAGGTAAAAATATTCCCAATGACAATCTAGTAGAGACTCTTGTGCAGAAGATTAAGAAGAAATTAAGAGAGCAGGGATCAAACCTAACACATAACAGTGCACAGAGGATAGCTCTTTCCACTCAAATTCAGGAAGAATTGAAAGAGAATGTATTGCAACAATTCACCAGTAAAGAAAAAGGACGTTCTAGACCAACTGTTGATAGAAACTCTGAACTCAATAATTTGATCACTGAACTGCTACATGGAGAAGTTTTCAATTTTATCCAGGGAAGAGAATTCCATGCTTTCAGAGGATTTAGTGATTTATTTTCCAAGGTTAAAGCGGAAGATCTGCACAAATGGATTTCAGACCAAAAGTTTAGAGCAAGTTATGAAATGTTTTAAGATTCAGAATCTGTGTTGTTCAAGTCACATGTGGTGTGTTTTCTGTATTTAACACTTTACAGAAACATTGTATTTTTATTATACCGGTAATTTTTAAGTAGTGAGTAACAGTAAGCAAAGTGGACATTTCACACATTTTGTATTATAAATACCAGGGCATATTGTGTAAGAAAAATTGGTTCTTGATCATTTTTTTTTTAAATTAAGACTTTGTCTAGAAAGGATATCCATTCATTCATAAATATTTGTATTTATTGAGTTTCAAACCCAGAACAGAATGTACAAAAGGCCCATGGGCCACATTACTGATCTGAATAGCTTTGTCAATTGACCAGCTGTTCTTTACCAGACTCCCTCATTGTAATAATTTTAACCTATTGTGATTCAAAATTAAGGCCCCCTCCTACTCCTGGGGGTTGAATGGAACAAATTAGAATCTATACTGCCCCAGGATGCTTCCATACAAATTTCAGCTTTTGTGGCCCAGTGGTTCTTGAGAAGATTTTAAAATTTTGTTTCTATATATTTCTATGTTAAAATTTGATTTCCTATTGTGGCCCCACCCTACCCCGGGGGTCATGATTTGAACAATTTAGAATCTACACAGGATGCTTCCACATAAGACCTAAAGTTTCAGCTTTTCTGGTCAAGTGGTTCTTGAACAGATTTTTTTCTCGACTCCACCCTATTTTTGTCTTTTCTTGATTATCTATCTCCGCTTGGGAGGGGACGTCTTTCTTCATTTTAACAATTTAAACTACCTTACACCCAAGGATTCTTTGTACCAAGCTTGGTTAAAATTGGCCCAGTGGTTCTTGAGAAGAAGTTGAAAATGTGAAAAGTTTACAGATGGATGGACAAAATGTGATCAGAAAGGGGGGGGGGGTCTACTTCCAAGAGTGACTCTTATAGGGGATTAGCAGCTGTTTTAAATCTTCAAATGGACAACACTGTTGCTGGTTTGAAAATTTTATAACTTCAAATAAAAAATATTTATTATCATATTAAACAATAGTCAATTAAATATTTATTCTAAAACTCTTAATTCAATAATAAAAAATCTCAATTATTTAAAAGCAATGTTTCTATCTTATCATGAATACATCAATGGTCAATCAGTTTCTTCATCGGTTGTTGTTACATCACTGTCATCAGATTTTGAATCGGTATCAGGCATTTGGAGTCTGACAATTGGATGTTTATAAGGGCATAGTTCCTCTCCACATTTACAATTACGCTCACAAATGTCGCAACAAAAATGTCCCTTAATGTCCTTAGCAGGATCACACATGTATGAATTTGTTAAAATCAATCTTCTACACTTGTCAGACACAACAAGGTCTTTCATGTCATTATCAATTTTTTTAAGTTGTGCAGATTTATAGATAATCAGGTCATGGGACTGGTTGTTGTCTCTCCCAGCACGGCCCATCTGTTGAACAAACGTGTCAATTTCTACTGGGGGTCCATAATGAATAACGTTGTACAAATCAGAATAGTTCACCCCCATGCCAGCAGCATTTGTACATATAAGAATCCTAAGCTGTCCATTTGGATTTCCCATATCAGCTCTAATTTTGTCCTTCACACAATCTGTTGTTTTACTGTGGAACATGTTAAAAAAGTGACTCTTTCCAAAATGTTTTAAAAAAGTCATATATATTAGTGAACAATCTTTAATGCTATTGCAAAAAATAAGATGTCTTGGAAATTGGTCTTTCTCCTTGTCAAGTCCCTCAATAATCGATGAAAAAATGACATCAAGGTCATCATTTTGTTTTATCTTCGTAACACTGATTTTAATATTTTTTCTATCAGGGGTGTCAGATATCACACAAGCATTTTTTCCGAAGCACAATTTTGACATGATTTTTCTTCTATGACTTGGACATGCTGTAGCAGTCAATGCCAAACAAGGAACCTTTAAACAGAGAGAACGTAGTTCACCTATGTGACTAAACCACTCGCGGAATGCAGCTTCCTGTTGATTTTTCCCTTCTCCCCTGAAAACAAAAAAGAAATGTATATATAGCTGCTTTGGTCAATAGACAATGACCATATCTTTTTTTTTAATTATTATTTTTAATATTTCACATAAATAATCTGGGGGTAGGGGGTGTAAGTGAATTAGGGCCTTAATTTTTTCCATCATCTGGCACCAACTATCGCAAAAGAAAGTGCAAAGTTACTTAAAACAAATACTGACAATTTTGTTTTTAAGGGCATAGTTCCTCTCCACATTTACAATAATGCATCCACACCCTACCCCAAAAATGTATATCTTCTACACTTTCAGACACAACAAGTTCCTTAGAAGATTTTTCAAAGATTTTTCCTATATATTTCTATGTAAAACTTTGATTCCCTATAATGGCCCCGCCTTGAACAAACCCCTGGGGTCACTACATGTATGCCCCACCCTTTCATGATTTGAACAATTTAGAATCTACATTATACCAGGATGCTTCCACATAATGTTTCTACAGTGTTTCATACTAAGACCGAATGAAAATATACTCTGTTTTCCTGTCCCTTGACCAAAAAAATAGGGTAGATAGGTAGGGAAAAAATTTCATATTGAGAAAACGTACATTTTATTTTCAAAACTCAATGCATGCAGAACACATAGCATGTAATAACAAGAAAAAATTATGTTAAAAAGTTTTCATAGTTAGTTTATAAAGATTTATAGGGTATCCTGTAGTGTACAGTTATGATGTATAATTAATACTGTAAATATTGTCGGTCAACTTTAGTATTTTAGGAAAATAGCCCTCAAAAATGAAAATGTGAAAAAAACAACAACAAACTTATAGGGTTGGAGGGTAAAAAGTAGGGTAGGTCGGGTGACAGGAAACAAAAGTCATTTTTGCCTAATCATAATAACAGTAAACCATAACAGTGTTTCATAACAAAATATTTATTCATTTCAACATGTTCAACAATCCTTTATTAATTTTTTTTGAAGGGGGGGGGTAGCATTGACGGATAAAATGTATATTGTGAGTGTAAACTAATCATTCCAAAAATTTGTAGTTTTTTATCTTACCAATGAATGATGGTATGAGCTTCATCTACCACAATCAAGCGATGTCTTTTCTTGAACTCTGGGTTCTTTAGTGCATCCCTCCACTTTGTTTCTCCAACCAGGACCTCGGGGCTTCCAAAAACAAAGTTATAGTAACCGCTTGCCACTCTCTCTACGTCAGTTGACCCTTCTATATACACTGCCCTATATCCCAAGCTGGAGAGACTTTCAACTTGCTCCTTCATGATGCTGATCAAGGGGGCGATTATAACAGTTACAGAATTTTCGCCGTACACAATTGGAACACATTGATAAGTCAATGATTTGCCACTCCCTGTCTTCGTTCCAATAAATATATCACGATTTTCTCTCAAGCTGGATATTGCAAGCTTTTGGTTTTCGGTAAGACTATTCAAATTGAATTTTTCACATATTTTCTTTTCGAGATCCGCCATCTTTGTACTCAGCCCAAACTACGCTTTGAAAGGAGTTATTTCATTGGACAGTCTATTTTTAAGATTATTACGTATTGTTGAGCGTGAGCCCGACATTTAAATAGCGACTTAGGTCAAGGGTTTGTGTGGAGTTCGAGAAATCACAAACCCTTGACATTGTGAGGATCCTCCACAGTGCAGAATACTAAGCAACAACACGGAAGAACAACACAGTCATAGGCTATTGAAGCAACTATTATGGAATGATTCAGACTTTGGTTAAAGTGAAAAGGAACATTGGAGAGGATGTCGCTTATGCATTGATAAGCCCCATGGACAAAATGAATATTGTTATTGATGGCAAACAGAGATCATCCCCAAACCACATGATTTCCTTAAAACCCTCATTGAATGCTGGACTGGTAGCTGTTTCGGTAGTGGACATCACTGATGTATGTGTGCATATTCCTGTCAATGATGAAATTTCCTTTGTGTCTTGTGTTCCAAACCGAGTGGAAAAAGAGTAAAAATGACAGTTCAATGCTGCATCATTATGTGATTGACTGAACAAATGATATTGAAATGATTGCAATATTCAAGAAACTGATTATTAAATCATGTTGAATTGCATTATTCATGTTTAGAGCCAATATAAAATGTTTTACTTTTATGTGAGAGGTAGACTTTTCTTCATTAAATTAGTTAACTTGGGTATTCCCATTTATATCAGGTGTGTGGAATAATTTTAAGAAATAGGTTCCTATGGCCCTTTTCACAACAACTTAGACTGATTTTTTTATATAACCTAAGATATTTTATTTTTGCATTGTGAAAAATTAGAGAAAATATTAATACCGTGTGATAGAAAATAAAGATTTTTGAAGTCTAGATGGAGGAAATTTTAGTCTTAGTTGCAAGATTTTTTGTGAAAAGGACCACTGATTGATGGAGACACTTCATTTTCTTTGGTTGAAGAATTGTCTAAAAAAAAAATGGGACTTTCCTTTCCTTGGTTTTTTAAATGGAGACATATTTGACTGCCTTTTTTAACTTTAAATTTCAGGCAGTCATACAATTAACAGAATGAAAAATAATATATTTTAACTTGATCATTTTTATTAATAATTCCTTTAATCGGATTTGTCAAAATACTCTCATTTATTATTAAAAAAAAAAGTTTAAGTCCTAAATTGGCACACTTTAGGCACACTGGAAAATGGCAAAGTCCAAAATAGGTACATTTTAGGTACATTGAAAAATTACTAAGTCCAATGTAGCTAGACTGGAAAAGTCCAAATAAAGCACATTAAAGGTACACTGGAAAATGGCAAAAATACAATTGCAAGTACCAAAGTTAATGGGAAAAATAATTCCAGTGGATTCAAAAATGCAGTCTAGGAGAAGATTGGGCTTATTGCAAGCTTCGAAGACCAGCATGCATTGTAGCATATGACAAACACATGGGAGCAGTTGATCACTGTGACCAGATGATCACCTTCCCTGCCTTTAAATGCAAGACACTGAAATGGTGGAAAAAAGTGTTTTTTATCTGCTAATGATGGCCACCCTGAATGCCTACCTGTTGTACAAAAAACATTGTGCAAAATGGAGGAAAAAAAGTTTTGCACAGGGTTTTCCGAAGGGAAGTTGTGAAGGCTCTTATTGGTGAGACCAGCCCTCAACCAGTAACTGTAAGGGGGTCTGTAAATCCAAGAGACATGGAATGGCTGACTGGGCGTCACTTCCTTTCCAAGATCAAACAGGAGGAAGGTAACAAGTCTAAGACTCTGAGGACGTGTCCAGTGTGATTTACCACAATGGGAAAAAGGAAATCTGTTGGAGATGGTCGCAAAACAGTACGGTCATCCTATGAATGCAGGATATGTGATGTAGGACTATGCGTAGATCTTTGTTTGAATTGTACCATACCAATTAGGACTTAAACAAGCCTACCAAAGACATCAGGACCAACATGTGGAGTCTGATGATTCAGATTAACTATGAATGAATGTGATAAATGCCAGTGATTAAAATTTAATTGTTTGAATAAAAGTACTTGCTTAAATGATGTAAATATTAATGATAACATCCAGGACAAAAGTAAAACAAAATGAGTGTTGAGTGCTGTGGAGGAGTTTGTTTATTTGAGTTGATCCCAAGAGCCAACAATTAGATTGTTTTTTGTAATAACTTAAGAACTGTCCAAACGGGACAAAATACCCCCCCCGCTGGATTTTTCAGAGGTATGTTTTTCCATAATAAAGATATGTATCAAACAAAAATTATGAAATTTTTCTAAGTGACCTTGAATATTCCCAAATGACCTTGGGTCAAGGTCATGACACACCCTTGGGTCATGGGCAATCTTTGTGTGAAATGAGAACCTACCAAGTTTATCCATAAGAAAGATATGGACCAGACAGGAATTATGAATTTTTTCTTCCAGTGACCTTGAACTTCCCCAAATGACCTTGGGTCAAGGTCATGACACACCCTTGGCTCATGGGCAATCTTTGTGTTAAATGAGAACCTACCAAGTTTATCCATAAGAAAGATATGGACCGGACAGGAATTATGAATTTTTCTTCCAGTGACCTTGAACTTCCCCAAATGACCTTGGGTCAAGGTCATGACACACCCTTGGGTCATGGGCAATCTTAGTGTGGAGTAGTAGATTCTAATGTCCCTCTGTAAGAAAGATATGGACCGGACACGATTGCACAGACAGATGGACAGACGGACAGACAGACAGCTAGACAGACAGACGGACAAGGTGATTCCTATATACCCCCCCAAACTTCGTTTGCGGGGGGTATAAAAATAGAAACTGATTTACATATTTGTTTTCTTTGGTGTAAATATATATTTTATAATGTGGTAAGATTTTGGAAATATCAGCATGTTTTATAGAAGAATAAATTTCTGTATAAAATATCAATTTTTTCAGTCAGAATTAATTAATTAATGGCAATAATTACTGAAATACAATTATTTTTGCAAATTTTGTGACTTTAATCCTATGTAACTTTTGATTGAAATAAAATATCAGATTTTTTTTCACAATGTTTTTCTTTGTTTCTTATCGGCGCACTTGGCCCAGGGATACATTCAGTTCCACGTAGCAATGTCTACGCTACACCTGTATCCAGTCTTGGATTAGCCTCGGATACTTCTACTCATTCTATGCAGGTTTCGGCAACTTTCCCAGTTCAGGGAAAGGCCTATCCGGAATCCGGGCAGACTGGGTTGACTACTGTGCCCCCTTCCCTGAGAAAGGCCATAATTGAGGGAAAGGATAATTAATCTAACCCAGCTCCTGATTCCGACAACCAACGCAATTGCCATCTGAGAAAAAGAAGGGAAACTCGCTGACGAAAAACCAGAAAAAGACCCACGACTGCACAAAAGTCTTTCAATTCCAGAATTTATATTTGCCTTTGGCATTTACAAAAACATCATGTGTAAAACCTATCCTCAACGAAGAGAAGAGCTAGACTTGTACGAGAGAGACATAGTG